GCACGGCGGTCGCCCCCGCGCGGCCTCGAGCTTCGCCCCGCCTCGGGCAGCTGCAGGTGCGACGGGAAGATGGCTCGCCAGCGGGCGAGAGCGGCGTGCTCGGGGCTTATGTACTTGCGACCGCTGATGCTGCAGCCGCGCACCTCGTAGAACGGCGTGCCGTCCACGTACTCGCCGCGGATGACGCCCTTGTAGCCCGTCTCCGTGTAGAACGACAGGATCAAGGCCGCCCCCTCCGCCCCCGCGAGCTGCACCGCGTCGAGCCCCGCGCCGGACGGCTGCGGCGGCCAGACCGCCGCCTTCGGCGGGATGACCACCACCAGCTGCGGTGGCGCTCCCAGCGGCGGCGCCGGCGCCGGGCGCGGCGCGAGCTCCGGGGCCGGGAGCGCCGACGGCCCCGCCCCGCCGCCGACGCCCGCCAGCCGCTTGGGCGGCGGCTCCTCCTCCTCCTCCTCCGCCCCGAGTCTCCGCTTCCCTTTTGAGGTCGTCGCCCTCGCCCACACCCCTGCTACGGCCGCGCACACCCTGCTGAGCAGCCCCGGCGGGCCGCCCTCGCCCGCCGAGCATCCCTCCATTCCCTCCGGCGATGAAGGAGAGGCGCCCGAGGCGTCGGCGGGGGCTGGCCAGCCACCGCCTCCGCCTGGCGCGCTGGTGGCCACCGGCCGCGCTGGTGGGGCCGGCGCCGGCTCGCCCGCGCCCGCGCCCGGCGGCGACCCCGCCTCATCTCCCGCCGCCGTCTCCGCCTCTCCCCCCGGCGCCAGAGGAGAGGCGCCCGAGGCGTCGGCGGGGGCTGGCGAACCGCCGCCGCCGCATGGTGCGCGCGCTGCAGCGGCCGGCCGCGCTGGTGCGGCCGGCGCCGGCTCGCCCGCGCCCGCGCCCGGTGGCGACGCCGCCTCTTCTCCCGCCGCCTCTTCTCCCGCCGCCGAAGCCTGGCGAGAGGATGGAACGAAGTGAGTGAGTGAGGTGTGCGCTGCGTGTGTATGGGCGAGCGGTGCGCACCTGCACGGTTGCGGCGTGCAGCGGTGCGGGCAGATCCGAAGGGTACGGCCGAAGTTGTGACCGCGTGCAGGTCCTCCAGTGGCAAAGCGAGCAAGGAGAGGCTTGGACGGTGTCTGCGTCGCTGGGCTGTGGTAGGCGCGTTGCCCTTGAGCTGCGGTTCGCGGCTTCGTTTCGCGCGCTGACCGGATGCACGCGTGCCCGCTCCGTCACGAGCTTGTCGAAACACTCGTGGCAGATGACCGTCTCTGCGCTCGGCTGGCACCACGGGCACGCGCGGTCGGCCGGCTTGTCGCAAATCCAGCACTCGAGTCCGCCACCGGGCACCGACATTTCCCGCGCGAAAAGAAAATTCAAGCCGCACTGGCGCGCTCTGGCACTAACACAGGTACACCACCGCGCGAAGAAACAAAAAGCGGTAGTGATCTGAACACCCGAATACCACGTTCGGATCGCTCCTCATCGCAAACCCTGTCAGCAGTTCACCTACGGGTATGTTCGTAAGAGCTACACCTCCAGCAGCGAAAGAGGCGGCTCGGCGACCGAGCCTGGCGCCGGCGGCGCAGTGAGCGGAGAGGGCTCCCGGCGTTGCTTGCGTCGAGGTGGCGGCCCGCTCACGGCTCCAAAGTCTGGGTCCGCCCCCTCGGCGGCCGTTGCGGCCCGGAGACGGCTGCCCATGGCCGCTGTGGGCGCTGGCGGGACGAGGAGTCTCACTCGGAGTGCGGAAGTGGGCTCTGGTCGAGGGCGCAAGCGTGCCTCCATCCTGCAGAGATGCTGGAGAATTGGCTCGTCGTTGGGACTGTGATTCCCGGTTGCCCCCAGCAATCAGCGGTGGCGCCCGCCGCTTCGATGGCGCAGGTGTAGAACCCTCCCACCGAGAGGGCCGAGTAGTTGCCGCCGGAGGGGACATTCGTTTGGCTGGGTGCAGTCTGCGGCGCCCCCCAGCAGTCAGCGGCGCCGCCCGGCGTGAGCGCGCAGGTGTGGCGCACGCCCGAACCGATCATCTCATACATCACCTCGCGGCCGTCCCACTCTCGTCGCTCTCTCCCTTGTCACTTCCTCCTCTGTCGCGTCGTTCTCTTCTGTCTCGTCCTGCGGCGCCGCCGCCTGCCGGTCCCTTGTTCTCGCGGCTTCTTTCGCCTTTCGGCGCAACTCCGTCCTCCTCGCGGCGTATCCTGGCCCCTCGAGTCTATCGAGCTCCCCTCGCGCAAGGACCACATTTCTGACTCCCACTCCGAGCATTTGCCTACAGGTCATGTTGTTGCTCAGGTCCACTCTCTCTTCGAACACTCGTGCCTCTACGGATGATGCCGGCGCTGGAGTCCCCTTCGGATGCATCGTGACATCTGACAACTGAATTTCCACTGGTTCGTCCTCCTCTGAGTCATCTTCCCCGGCTTCCTTCCGCTCGGCTCTACGTTTGGTACGTTCGGTGTGGCTCACCCTCCATGCCGTGAACAGGCGCTTTATCCACCTCGTTGTTTCGCACCCTTTCTGTAAGCTCCCGCAGGCAAGAGGTATTTTCTTTTTTCGCGGGTAAGCGCAGGCTCGACGCGCCCATGGCTTGCAGCTGCCGCCACAACCGAAGAAGGAGAGGCGCCTCGTCGACGTGCGTGGCGCTTGCGGCGGCGCTCGCGCTCTCCTCTCCTGCCGACGCACGCCTCGCGCCGCCGACGCTGGTCCTTCACGCCGACCGCACGCTCACCGTGCAGTGGGAGGGGGACGAGCCGGAGCTGGCGCACCGGTTACTGCTGACGGTGACGCGCCCGGGCGCGAGCAGCACGCACGTCACAAAGCTGGCGCTCGCGGGCTCGCGCGAGCTGCGCTGGGGCGCGATGCCCCAGCACGCGAGGTGCTGCTTCCGCGTCGTCGCCGTCAAGGGCGACGCCGACGAGGAGGGCTACTCGGACGAGAACTGCGTCGCCTCGTCGGGGTGCGAGGAGCCGCCGCCGAGCGACGGCTGCGGCCCCACCGCGCTGGTCGGCGCCGTTTTCGGGGGCGCCCTCGTCTTGCTCGCGCTAGGCGTCGGGACGAGGATGGGTATGCTGTCGGTGAGCTGTGCGCCGGCGCAGGCACTGCCGCCGCTGCGCGGGCGCGGAGGGCGGCGGGGAGGGCGGGCGTGCTACTCGCACCTCACCACGAGCGAAGCGGCCGTCGAGCTCGAGATGAGGGAGGGGCTGCAGGGCGGCGGCGGCGGCGGCGGCGGCGGCGCGTGCTGCGCGCCGCCACAGCACCAGCCGGCGCAGCACCAGCCGGCGCAGCTGCCGCGCGCCGCGGCTGCGACGTCGGCGTCGTGCGCCTCCGCCGCGTCGCCGTCAGGGGAGGGGGGGGAGCTGCTCGAGCCGCACCCGCTGATAGACGCGGGCGCCTTCGAGGTGCGTCTCAGTGCAGCTATAGCTAAAGCACAGACTCTACCCTCTCTCTCTCCCTCCCTCCCTCTCTCTCTCTCTCTATCTCTCTCACTCTCTCTCTCTCTCTCTCCCTCTCTCTCTCTCTCCCTCTATCTGTCTGTCTCTAAGCCTCCCTATTTCTCTCTCTCTCCCTCCCTCTCTCTCTCTCTCCCTCTCTCTCTCTCTCTCTCCCTCCCCCTCTCTCTCTCCCTCTCTCTCTCTCCCTCCCCCCCTCTCTCTCTCTCTCTCCCTCCCCCTCTCTCTCTCCCTCTCTCTCTCTCTCTCTCCCTCCCTCTCCCTCACCTGGCAACCCTCTCTTCACGCCTTGCACGCGCGTAACCAGGGCCCCACGCCGCAAAAGTAACGCGAGATTGTGTTTGTCGCCAGGTGCGGTGGGGCGCCTGCAGCGCACACAGCCGCGTGGTGAGCGGTCGGATGCCGGCGGGGCTGGTGGCGCCGACGCCAGACGAGACCGAGGCCGCGCTCACCTCGGCGGGCCTGATGTGCATCGCCACCGGGGCGGTGGGGGGGGTGCACAAGAGCTACTTTGCGGGCGCGCTAGCCCGCTGCCGCCCTCGGCTCGGTTCCTTTTTTAGGCGCCGCCATATGAGGGGGCCGCGTGTTTTTCTTTTTTTGTAGGCCAGCTCCGCCGCTCGGGCGGTTGGTTCATGCTCGAGCTGTGCGTGCTGTATGCGGGCGGGACCGTGCAGGCCACCTACCGCGCCGACTCGGCGGGCGGTATGCCGCCGCTGTGCGGTCACTTCTCGGCGCTGCTCGGGAGGCTGTTTGCCGCGCCGCTGGCCGAGGTGTGAGCTGAGACGGACGTTGTGGAAGCGGCATGTTGTGGGAGGCGGCACGTGTTGCGTGCGTGTGCGCGGGGGGGGGGGGGGGGGGCTCTCCCAGGGGGCCGCCCCGCGGAGGCACGCCTAGCCACACGCGCAGGAGCGGAGAGGGAGAGCGAGAGCGAGAGAGCGAGAGAGCGAGAGAGCGAGAGAGACGAGTGTGCGACGTATGAGAGGTGAGGGAGGGAGATAGGCTCTCTGCCCGGCTCCACCTGCATCTTCGTCGCGGAGACGGGCAGGCAGCGCGCCCGATGTCATCGCGAAAAAGTGTGTGTCGCGTGTGTGATGGAGGCGGTGCGCCCCGCGCCGTGGTAGGTCTCAGGGAATCAAAGCAGTTTTTTCATCCAATGAACTATCGTCAACTATGAGTGCGAGACGGGGCTAGCGCGGTAGCGGCCGCTAAAGCCGTAGCCTGAGAGGCTCCTGTGAGGAGGTCTTGTCCGTGCAAAATCCTAGGCAAAATCAATCATTTTCTGTGTTGGGATTGTCAACCATAGAGCGCAACTTTTTTTCGTCACCGTCGCCCCTTGTGTGATGACGAAGAAGAAAAAAATGCGACCACGGTGTGTATGATACGTGCAATGGCATCTGTTCTCGCTGCATAACACCCTTGCCCCCCTCGTCCAATTCACTCGCGCCACTCGCGGCTCCGCGGTCGATCAAAATCCTAATCGCTAAGCCTGTCTCTAGCCTCTGCCTCCTTCGCGCTTGCACGGCCACCTATACAGGTCAGAGTCGCTCCCATCGCAGGAACAGTTGTACGCCGGAGCGCCCGGAGGGAAGCCGCACTCGAGGATCGGGCCGTGGCGGCACCGGAAGAGGCCGCGGCAATTTCGCACCCACATGACGCGGCGCTCGAGGCCCGCTACGAGCCCGAAACTGCGACCCGCCACGCAGCGCGCCTGGCTGTGCTGGTGCACGAGGGAGACGGGCTTGCGCACGGGCGGCGGTTGCAGGCAGCGGGGCTCGAAGGTGTGCGACCAAAGAAAGTCGTTGAAGGTCGGCGAGAAGTGCATGCCGTCGCCGGGAGCCGTCCAGTGGGCGTGGCGCACGGTGAGGTCGTTTAGCGCGTCGAGGGTGGCAAAGCCTTCTGCCGCCGCCGCCGCTCGCTGCAACTCGAACAACCGCTGCGATCGCGAGGCGCTCATATACTTAGTGCGCGCGTAGCAGCGCTCGCCACAACTGGAAGCGCCCCACATATTGTTGGCGCAGAGCGCCGACGCTCGCTCGCAGTCGACGCGGAGCGGGTGCATCATGAAGAACGCCTTGAGGACGAACGTCGCTCCCGGGAACCGCCGCTTGATCTGGCGCAGGCACTGCGTAAACGCCGCCTGGTACTCGGAGGCGGTCGTGAGCGCGGTCTTCGACTCGTCGACGAGGTCCCACGCGCCGCTGCCGTACAACACCAGCTGGCGCGCGCCGTGGCTCACGCCGCCCTGCGCCTTGAGCGCGCGCTCGGCGGCCTCCTCGCAGACCTTCGACGATCCGAGCTCGGGCGAAAACCGGTCAAGCATCGAGCCACTGGCGTCCGTGTACGAGTAGTTGAGCGGTCGCTTCTCTTGGATCAGCGGCCGGAACTGCCGCACTGTGCTGTCGCCGATCGCGGCGAACGCGGCGAACCGCCGCAGGTCGATTGCGGCGGCGGGCATCGGCACCGCCGGCGGCACCATTGGCCGGGGCGCGCATCGCGTCCGCCCAGGCGGCGAGGACGCCGTCGTGGGGCCGCCGGTGGTGGGCCTTGTTGTAATGGTAGTCGCCGAAGAAATCGACTGGCATGCGCCCCGCTCGAGCGCGACCTTTGTGTTTGTGTGCGTGTGCACTCACTGTGAGTGAGTGAGTACACACACAGCACTCACTCTCAATCACTTGACAATTTCCTTGTTTGTGTATATCGCGCGCCTTTTGGGTTGGCGTGGAAAAGAGGAAAAGCAGCGCCGGGCAAGGACTGCTAGCCTCCTCCTCCTGGAAAAGAATGTAAACCCATGAAAAGAAATCGAGTCACGGCGGCTCGGCGAAGGATCGGGGTCAGTTTCGGAGGCAAGTTGGTCAGACGAAGGGGGAGCAAAGCCCCATCTAAACGCCTCGGCCAGCATGACCGCGCCTTGGTACCAGCAAAAGCGCCAAAAGAAGCACAGAACCCCGCCGGAGCCCCTCGACGCGAACTCCAGTAGCGACACCGAGCTGCAGGCTGACGATAGCGACGAGGGCGCCGCCGCGTCCCTCATCCTGCTCCTCGACCTGCCCAAACAGGAGGCGAGCGGGAGCAAAGGAGCGCCGTTCAACCCACGGGTCCCATCGCGTCGGCCAGCGGCACGCAAGGGGGAGCGCTGGCAGGCAAGCAGCCTCGCACCCTCCGCCTCGGCCACGCCCGCGTACCCCTTCACTGACCGCTGCTACGACTTCCTACGCTAGGTGCCGCCCTCTCACCTCGCCATCCTCGAGGCGGCCTACCTCGTCAGCGCCTTCCCCTCCTTGGAGGACCGCAAGCGCATGGCCAGCGCTTTTTCCGTCTCGCCCCGCCAAATCCAAGTCTGG